ATCTTGGCCCGATTCTGTTCTTGTTGTTTATTAACGATATCAAACAGACTTAAACAATATGGTTGCATGGTGTGATAGAAATGATTTGCCATTGAATCTCAATAAATGTAAGACGATGTGCTTTTCCCGTAGATCTGTGCACCCCTCTTCTTATGTAATAAAACACCATATTGTAGAGCAAGTTTTTAACTATGTTGATTTGGGAGTTAATATTGACCCTAAGCTTAATTTCAGTCTTCATATAGATACCATGGTCTTGAAAGCAAAAGCTGTCCTCAGTTTTGTTAAACGTTGGTCTAAAGAATTTAGAGATCCGTATATTACTAAAATACTTTATACAACTTTGGTTAGACCTATATTGGAATATGGCTCTGTGGTATGGAACCCTAGCTACCAAATCCATTCTGACAAGTTAGAGTCGGTTTAAAAACAATTTTTACTTTTCGCTTTAGTGCACTTCCGATGGGATGCTAGGGTAAGTCTACCTCCACACACTAGTCGTTTAAAACTTATTAATCTACCTACACTTTCTAGTCGTAGGGAAATGCTTGGCATAATATTCTTAGTGAAACTTTTGAATGGAACTGTTTGTAGTTCTTTTCTCCTGTCTGAAATTAAATTTAATATCCCGGTTCGCCTTTCGAGGCAGTTTAGACCTTTACTGTTAAAATCCTGTAGATCAAATTTTGAACTAAATGAGCCATTCCGCCGTATATGTCATGATTTTAATTCTCATTCCAGCACATTTGACTTATCTGACTCACCTTTCAAAATTAAAAAGACTTTATTGTTTTTTCTTGTTTTCTGAAAATGTAACAATTTATTATATTGTAACTATAAATCTTAGCTGTTGAAATTTTTGTTTCTGTAGCTGAGCAGTTTTAGATCTCAACACTTAAAACAGATCTTACCTTTTCTGTCTCGGCTAATTCCGCACGTATGCGGATTGCGCCCCACGCGTCGGTTTGGCGGGAGGAGGGTAATCGTTGGATTATTATTATTATAATAATATACAATCTTTGGATGGATTCTATATGGTCAGGTGACGGTAAAAATACTTTAATTTACAACTCAGGTTGAAAGTATTTCTAATTTTTAAACAATCAACTGAGAAACTTCACAAGAAGATCAGAGGTGCAAAGAGTTTTACAAGTCCAGAACAACCCGAAACGAAAAGAACGTTCTTTATTTCGACTTCCATTCAAGCCAAACTTTCTTGAAAATATTGCACTAGGCCATTCCAGAACCGCAGTTATTCAGCACTTTTTAGCATCCAGAAGAGCCTAACAAAGAAAAGCGAACTTGTATTACATTATCATAAGAAAATTTAAGCTTATGACAATGTAATGCAAGAATATACCGTCCTGCATCAAATGAAAGAAACAGGACCATATGGGTAAATTTGTCAATGGGTAAATTTGGCCCCTAACAATCATGTAGAGTAAAACGGTTTCTGTGATAGTACGATAAAAAAAATAACGTAACATCTTTTGTTAGCCAAAGCCAAAGTTTCACATTTGAAGACACTAAGTCCTGCCAAGGATTGAACTGAGTGGTTCCCTTCTGTTAGCAAAATTAGTTGCAATTGTTCAAACCCATTTTAAATTAACCGGTAATAAATTTTATCTTTGGTCAGACTCAGAAATCGTTTCAGCTTGGTTAGAAAAACCACTTTTTTTTTCTGGAATACTGTGTTTCTTAGTGAATAATACTAGCTCTGTCTTGCTAGCATTCAGGTTCAGTCCGCATGATACGGCCCATCGATTAATATCGTTTAACATTATCTGCATAAGGCTATCGAGGGTATTCGGGAATTTGCCTCTAAGTGAAACTGCCACATCGTCAGTGTAGGCCAAAACATGCAACTCAGAAACCGTTTGCTGAAAGTTTCTCCTGTTAACGATGACAGCTACTTCTTAATCGTCTTTGATCTTGATCATCACTTAAACTAAATTAAAAACAAGTAAGGAAGGAATAAGTTCGGATGTAACCGATCCTTTTTTACTCTCGCAAAGTCAAATGGTATACTCGTTTGAGATTTCTTTGAAGATTGACCGATATTTTCGGTAGAAGGTTAACTATAGGCACTGGGGTCCACATATTCAGTACCTAGGGGCGTGAATAGTTTTGGTTCGATTAAGACAGTTTTTGGTCACAAGGTGGCATACTTTTAACGTATTTTTCTCGCAAAGTTTTACCCCGATTAAATCATGGTTACTTGATTTGTTTACTGAAAAGTGAAATAATCAGATGAAATTTAAAATGGTGTTATATGGGAGAGAGACGTAGTTGTAGTCCGTTTTTGCAATATAATATAGAAATATAAAAACAATGTTCTATACCAAATTTGGTTGAAATCGGTTAAACAGATCCTAAGATATGGGTTTTCACCAAAATGTGGGCGGTGCCACGCCCTTTGTCTAATTTCGAATGCGGTTCCTATAAAGTCAGCTCATACGATCCCTGTGTTAAAATTTAATGACTGTGGCGTGTTTGGTGCTTGATTTATCGCGCTTTTAGTAGTTTTTAAAAGTACCGTTATAAAGGGAGTGGGCGGGGTTGTCACCCGATTTCACCCATTTTCACATCGTAGATAGAGGTGCCAAAAACATTTGCTCACAGTGTTATTTTGTTATTATTGCTTTAGTAGTTTAGGAGGTATGCACATTAAACCTATTAGGTGCGGAACCACACCCACTTTTTAAAAAAAATGTTAACCGCAGATGCCCCTCCCTAATGCGATCCTGTGTGCCAAATATCAGCCTTGTGCCTTATTGTGAAGCTTAGTTATGACAATTTATTGGTTTTTGATTAATGGCCTTTTGTGGGCGTGGCAGTGGTTCGATTACGCCCATCTGCAATACCAACCGTCTTACGGTATTAAGAAACATGTGTACCAAGTTTCATAGCTATATCTCAATTTTTACTGAAGTTACAGCTTGCATGGACCGACGGACAGACGGACGGACGGACAGACAGTCACCCGGATTTCAACTCGTCTCTTCATCCTGATCATTTATATATACATAGCCCTATATCTAACTCAATTAGTTTTAGGTGATACAAACAACCGTTAGGTGAACAAAACTATTATACTCTGTAGCAACATGTTGCGAGAGTATAAAAATTAATAACGTCGTTGTGATTATTCAATAAATC